GTTCCTTATTTTCATGTGAAGCCTTACAATAACGGTTTCCAGTTACCCCTCTCACATACACATCCACACACAGATACTTGAGACAACTTTAGAGAGTCTTTATTCTTTGTAGTCAGAGGATCCTGATTTACATGACTACTCTATGAGTTCGATGTTTTTTATTTTGTCTCTGTTGCCAAGGCAAGGACCAATGAACAATAACAGTTTTGTGGCCACCCAAGAACATACTGACCTTGAATAAGAAAAAGCAATGTATATAATCCTAATTGTTTAAGAGAGGTGATGCATTATAGGGAGGGCTCAGAGAAAGATGGCTAACACTAATAACGCATGTTGCCACTGAGGAGACTACACAGAAATGTGCATTTAGCAAAACAACTTCAGAACAATATTTTTTTCTTTCTCCCCTATTAGATTATCAGCTCCTGAAGCACTTATCTTGGTATCTCTCACCAATTCCCAGGAGAAGACTTTGTATATAATAGGTGAAATACTATTGAGTATGTAATATGGCCCAGCTATGGTTTTGTCTTCAGGTTTAGTAGCAGCTTTGAACTGCCTGGTAAAAATATTTTTTCAGGCAGACTAAACTGAACTGAAGAGAGAGACACAGGTTAGAGACAAGAGTTGGATTTTCAGAAACTTCTGGGAGTGGTAGATATAGGCAGTATAGAACACACAAAAAACAATGGGAGGAATTTCAAGGAACCAGATAATATATGCATAATGTTGGTTATCAGGACTGAGGAAAGCTTAACTATTATACTATATTAGATAGGCCATTCTCATTTAGGGGACTAAGGACCAGAACATACTGTTATCTAGAACATCTGCAGAGTGCAGAGCAGCATAGCCTTTGGCCAGAAAGCATGACAAAGAAAATGGGATAGAAGGGGAGGATTGGCAAAAGATAAATTCTAGATTCTGATTTTAAAATGACAGAACAAAGATTACAGCATCATTTTCCTTCTTCCTTATAAATTATCCAGGGGCACTAAGAGAACAAAATGGTGGAAACTTGAACCCCTTTCTTCAAAGAAAGATACATGTGCAACCCCAGACTACAAAATGTGATGAAGAATGATAAATGCAGTTAAAAATGCCCACAGCTACAGAACTCACACAAAGCTGGCAGAACTTTCTAGGGGGCAAAACCAATAATGCCCAATTTAGATTATGGGATAGGATTTGTGAACTGGCAGCAGGAACTTTCTTGGCCTTCCTACGGTATAAAGAAGCAGCAGGGGGCTGGGCACTTTGGCTCACACCTGTAATCCCAACACTTTGGGAGGCTGAGGCAGGAGGATCACCTGAAGTCAGGAGCTTGAAACCCCATCTCTACTAAAAATACAAAAAAAAAAAAAATTAGCTGGGTGTGGTGGCGGGCACCTGTAATTCCAGCTACTTGGGAGGCTGAGGCAGGAGAATTGCTTGAACCCGGGAGGTGGAAGTTGCAGTGAGCTGAGATTGAGCCATTGCATTCTGGCCTGGGCAACGGAGTGAGACTGTCTGTAAAAAAAGAAAAAAAAAAAAGCAGCAGCAGGGTAATAGACTCAATGAGGAATTACATAGATAAGATGGAAGACATGGAAAAACACAAAAAAAGTAGAGATTATATCTTTATTATCAGACAGGATTGAATTTAGAGGAAAAACTTTAAGTAAGGCAATGAGGGATCATTCAAAGCAGCAGCAGGGCATTAAGCATCCATAAAGCAAAAACTACAGAAAATATAAAGAATAATTGTTATGTAAAAGTGGTAAGAAATGTTTATTCTTATTAGTTGGGCATAGGGTGCATGCCTGTAATCCCAGTTACTCGAGGCTGAGGCAGGAGAATCGCTTGAACAGGGAGTTGAAGGTTGCAGTGAGCAAGATGGTGCCATTGCACTCCAGCTTGGTGATACATTGAGACTCTGTCTCAAAAAAAAGAGAGAAAGAAAGTGCAAATAAATAAAATAATGAATGAAGTAAATATTTGGTATTTGTCAAGCTTTGTATCCTGAAAACTAAGGATGTCAAATTCACAAAAATGGCTGGGCACAATGGCTCACACCTATAATCCTGGGACCAGCCTGACAACATGGAGGGCAAAAAAATTTTTTTATAAAAATAGACCATAAAGAAAATTTCAAAGAATTGCAAAAGGCAAAGTAAATATATACAGCATTCTCTGATCTCATTGCAATAAAACTAGAATTTAAGAAAAAGAATATCACCTGGACATTTTAAAATTTCTACTAAAATAATTCTTAGATCACAGAGGAAACCAAACAAGTTATAGAACATCTCAGACAAAAGCATAATGAAAACACTACATATTAGAACTTGTGGGACAGAACTAAAATAGAGTTCAAAAGCACTTATCTTAATGAAGAAAGAACATAACTGCATTAAATATCTAACTCAAAGTTAGAAAAATTATCAACATAAAAAAGCAAAAGAAGGGAATAAAAGTAGAAGTTAATAAATTAGCCAAAAATTGGTCAGATAAATAAAAAAGCTTATTATGTTTTTAAATAGGATATTAAGTTTATAAAATAAAAAAGTAGACAGGAAAGAGCGTAAACAGAAATAATGGGGAAATGATAGAAATAGAGAATCCTAAGAAAATATTTTGCTTAATCCTGTGTGAATTAATTTGAGAACCTGAAAGAAATGGATGATTTTTTAGGAAAGTTGAAATGATCAATACTAGCCAGGTGTGGTGGCTCATGCCTGTAATCCCAGCTCTTTGGGAGGCTGAGGTGGGTGGATCAATTTAGGTCAGGAGTTCAAGACCAGTCTGGCCATGATGGTGAAACCCCATCTTTAAAAAAAAGAAAAGAAAAGAAATGATCAATACTAACCTCAGATAACTAGAAGATCTAAACTTTTTATCATAGAATAACTTTCTCTCTCTCTCTCTCTCTTTTTTTTTTTTTTTGGATATGGAAAGTTCTTTATTTTATCATGTGAAACCACGTAACACCTGCCTAACCACAATGTAGATATCAATAGAAGATGGCTCAGAAATAGCAGGACTAGTGATTCAACTAGTGACCATTATGACAAAAGACAGGAAGTTTTCACTGATTTATAGAAGTTTTAAAATGCATTTTAGCTGGGCATGGTGGCTCATACCTATAATCCCAGCACTTTGGGAGGCCTAGGTGGGAGAATCATTTGAGGTCCGGGGTTGGAGACCAGCCTGGCCTCAAACCTTGGTGAAACCCCTTCTCTACTAAAAATCCCCAAAAATTAGCCGGGCATGGTGGCGTGTGCCTGTAATCCCAGCTACTGGGAAGCTGAGGCAGGAGAATCACTTGAACCCAGGAGGCAGAAGTTGCAGTGAGCTGAGATCATGCCACTGTACTCCATCCAGCCTGGGCGACTGAGTGAGACTCCCATCTCAAAAAAAAATGCATTTTATATTGAGTAGTTATTTCATGTTTTCTTAAAAGAATTATTGTGTTAAACCAAAAATAAACTAGGTATAGTTTGGTCACATAACCAACCTATATTCAAAGACATGCTCACAAATTTTTCACTTAGTCCATTTTTCTGTTCTCAGCATTACTACAAATGCCTCATTCCCTCATCATGTTGAATTCTTCAGCATCTCCTATATCAGTTCCAGGGGCATCTCTGCGAAGTAGTGATGCCTGTCTTCCCTCAGAAGCACACTGATAACCCTAATGTACCCATAATTCATACCTTTTCCCTCTTCTCAGTATGCTGCTTTTTGGCACAACAGAAAAAACATACTACTAGGATTTGAAAACCTAAAATCTGGGCCTGGTTAGGTCATAAACTACAGAACCTTAAGTCTTATTCTCCCCTGGCACCTTTTTCACCACTGCAAAAGATAATTTATATTTGCTTTGTCTTTTGTAGTCATTTATGTATCTTCATGATATCATTTATCTTCATGATAACCCTTAAATTTAAGTAAGGTGGCATTATGCTCATTTTATAGAAGAAATTCAGTCTCAGAGAGGATACAGTCTCCCAAAGATCCCACAATACTAATATATGAGGCAGAGCTAAACTCAAGATCTTAGGACTGCTACATGCTGTGCTAATAAGTTTGCTAAAATGGAGGAAGCGGCAGTTTCTCAAGTCCCTTTCAGTGATCCTGTTCTCTTCTTCTACTTGCGATTTTTTCTCTCTTCCCTCAACTACTGTTAACATCTGAAACTATATATAATCACCAGATTTCACTTACCATAGCTTTTTATTTAATTATTCTTTAAATTTTTCTATTTCCCTGTTAAATCCAGGGAAATGTTACATTTTCGAAAGTTTCTACTGTGGCCTGCTTCTGAAGGCCGTGGGACTTACCTATTTGTTTGTCAAAGCAAAAATTCCCAACATTTTGTAAACGTCACTAATTCATTTTTATAACTGTAAAGACAATTATTCCATACTTAAAACCAATTCAAAATAAAATAAATCCTCGATACTTCTTACTTCCTGGAGTAGTAATTTTAATTAGATTCTATTGGTTTGTAATTTTCTCCTGTGTGTCTTTATTTGGGAAATATTATTAGTCTACCTCGCTATTAGTCTCTTTCCCTAAGAAGAAAATGTCAGTCTTAAAGAGTCAGGAAAGCTTTTACTTTCACTATCACATATGAAGAATGAGCTAAACTCCCAAACTGGAAAGTAAAACTTAAATGAGGGATTCAGGACATTTCCCAAAGGGTCATATGACCAATTTAAAAGTTGGTATGATGTGCCTAAAATAACACATTAACTCTTTTACTTGTAATAAAGGTAAAGATGTACTGATTAGTCATGCTGACATGTGCACAGGAAATATGCCTAAACCAAATTAAAAGAAAATACATTCTATGGCAATCCTGAAAAGTCAGGAGCTCAATAAATATTAAGAATATGCTCTCACAATTAGAGAGCATTAAACACTTGGTAATTGACATAATTTAATATGCAAAAAATGAGAAAATATGCAGGATGAGGAGTACACATAGGACATTTTTGTGGTTTTCTTCATTTTGATTATATTGCTTTCTTGTCTTCAAGAGGGAAGATTTTGACTTCAAAAGTAACAAAATATTGGGCTGGGTGTGGTGGCTCACGCCTATAATCCCAGCACTTTGGGAGGCTGAGGTGGGTGGATCACGAGGTCAAGAGATCCAGACCCTCCTGGTCAACAAGGTGAAACCCCGTCTCTACTAAAAATACAAAAATTAGCTGGGCATGGTGGTGCGCGCCTGTAGTCCCAGCTACTTGGGAGGCTGAGGCAGGAGAATTGCTTGAACCCAGAAGGCGGAGGTTGCGGTGAGCCAAGATCGTGCCATTGCACTCCAGTCTGGGTAACAACAGTGAAACTCCGTCTCAAAAAAAAAAAAAAAAAAAAAGGGTAACAAAATATTTAAGAAGGAAATTCACATCTTTCTGTTCTAAATGGTATTCTTGGGCTATTTTCTCAGCAGTCCATATTTCTGGATAAACTTTATGATTATTGAGAAGTGTCAGTGCTTCTACAGTGGAAATTTTGCCTTTGGGAATGCTCTTAATATTTATCATATCAAAGTCTTGGCCGAAAGGCAATCTGAATTCCTTTGTCTCTTGATGTGTTTCATCAGTTTTTACCTGCACGGAAGACACAGGGTCTTTGGAATCAATATACACATCTTTTAGAAATGATAGCAGCTTGTCATCTTTATGAGCAATCTCTCCCTTAATTTCTGGATATAGACTAATCTGCTCTCGCAGGAGGCTGTTGGTAGAGGGGTGCCTGGGAGCAGGAGAGGGCTTCATCTTGCTGATTTCCCGTTTCACTCGGTTCTCTAGGTTGAAATTCCCGATCCTGCGAGTCATCGTAGCTCCCATCTCCTCATAACATGATGCCCTCAGGTTCATGCCGCACATGGAAACACAGGCACAAGAAACCTCCAGGGCACCCGAGAATAGCTTTCTTCTACTGAAGCCTTGGTGATTTAACAGGGGAATTTCAGGAATAAATCAGTCCAGGAATAAATCAGTCCAGTCCTCCCAAACACATACACTTTAATAAATGTGGATATCTCTGGAAGGACACATGAGAAACTAGTAAACGGTTATTATTCCCAGGGAATGCAACTGGGGCTGAGGGACATTATTAAAAAGAAGTCTTGCTTTTTCCAGTATATCTTTTATGCCTTTTCTATTTTGTACCATTTGCATATGGCACTCATCCAAGTATGAGGAATTCAGAACATCTTTGTTTTACATTTGAATAAGTTGACAACACTATTTGACGTTTGTTCTTATGTTTACCTTAAGTTCTCAGTAAATGTAGTAGGCGTAATTTCTTAAATACCTCTCTCCCGCAAAGATGTCCACCGTAATTCCTGCAACCATCATGAATGTGATGCTGTATTACCGATTCTGTGATTATGTTATGCAACATGGCACAGTTGACCTTAAAATAGGGAGATTCAAGCCTAAATTATCTCGGTAGGCCTGATGGAATCATATGAGCCTTAAAAGCAGAGAGCTTTCTTTGGCTAATGGCAGGAGGGAAAATCAAAGAGACTGGAAGTATGAGAAGGATGCAATGTGCAATCGCTGCTTCGGAAATGGAGGAGACCACTTGAGAAAGAAGGCACGTAGCTTTGAAGAGCTAAGGGCAGCTCCCAGCTTACAGCTAGGAAGGAAACTGGTCGAATTCCTGCAACATCAAGGAACTAGCTCTGTCAACAACTTAAAAGAGGTTAAGAGTGGATTCTTCCCCAGTCTCCAGATAAGAATCCAGCCCAACAGGCATCTTGATTTCGGCTTTGTGATACCCTGAGCAGAGCCTCACAGAGCCTTCTTGGGACTCCTGTCCTACAGAGATGTGAGATAATAAATGGATATTGTTTTTAGCTGCTAAATTTGTTATATAGGAGTAGAAACTAATAGCGTAAAATTATGTCCTAAAACTTAGATACATATGGGCTTTTAGAGGCTTTAGTGATGGGAGCCGTATTCCCTCCCATCTGGGTATGGTGGGTAGTGCCAAAGCAGCTGCAGAGCACGTAGGACAGGGTCATGTGTCAGTCAGAGGCCACATTATTTCCTCTGGTGCCATAAGTCGAATATGCTATGCTGTCTTTTCATTACTTTCTTCAATTTGGTAGAGAATGAATTTTTATACCTGTCTCAGTCTTTTCCTCTTTTCAGATTATAGTCTTAGAAGGATTTTTTTTTGGCATTTCTGTTTTAAATAATATTGTATTTTCAATGAAGAAGTTGGCGTTTATTTTTCCTTTTTTTTTTTTTTGCTTTTTCTTTTTGAGATAGGGCCTTGCTCTGTCACCCATGCTTGGAGTACAGTGGTGCGATCACCACTTACTGCAACCTTGACCTTCCAGGTTCAAGCAATCTTCCCATCTTAGCCTCCTGAGTAGCTTGGATTACAGACTCCTGCCACCATGCACTGCTTTCTTCTTCTTCTTCTTCTTCTTCTTCTTCTTCTTCTTCTTCTTCTTCTTCTTCTTCTTCTTCTTCTTCTTCCTCTTCTTTCTTCTTCTTTCTTCTTCTTTTCTTCTTCTTTTCTTCTTCTTTTCTTCTTCTTCCTTTTTGGTAGAGACAGAGTCTCCCTGTGATTGCCCAGGCTGGTCTCAAACTCCTGGGCTACAGCAGTCCTCCCACATCAGCCTCCCAAAGTGTTGGGATTACAGATGTGAGCCAGTACACCTGGCCTTTTCTTTGGATATCTTAGAAAATTAACTCCTACCTTTCTAAAAATTCCTGGGTTTCTGTGATTGGGATTTAAGTGGTCATGAGAGAAATTCCTGATATGATAGTGCAGTCAAGTAACACTGAAATTCTTTGACTATTTTACTTTTTCGAGAGTTTTACTTTAATCAACCCAATTTTGTTCCATTGACAGTTTTATCCAAGACTGAATAAGCATAGTTTACCTTTTAAGTTGCTCTATACCAGAACATACCTTTCATTTCATTCTTTTAATTTAACAGTGTGGGAAGCCATTATTTACTTTTTGTTAATTGATGGTACTTTTGTACACTTTTACCTGGAAAAAGTAACTTTGAGAACCACAGAGAAGAAACATATCTGTAAAGGTCACTGAAGAGTGTCAGAGGACTCAAGAGTGTGGGGAATTACTTCTGTGATTCCCATCACTTCACATTCTGCGTAGAGAAAGCACTCAACAGAAATGCTGCAAGTCAGCGTCAGGAGTCCATAGCATCATTATCAAGTGCAATAAGACTATGAATCTCTGATACTGAGTTTTTATGCTTTTTCTTTTTGCCAGTAAGTTACATGGTCCAGTTTTTCTGTCTTAGATGACTTCAGAGGCTTATTGTAAGCCTGCTGAGGTCAGGGAATGTTTCTGCCTTATATACAGTGTATAAGCTATAAAACGATTTATCTATGATAAAAGTAGAACCCGGCTGGGCATGGTGGCTCACGCCTGTAATCCCAAAATTTTGGGAGGCTGAGGCAGCAGATCACTGAGGCCAGGAGTTCGAGATCAGCCCTGGCCAACATGGTGAAACCCCATCTCTACTAAAAATACAAAAAATTAGCTGGGTGTGGTGGTACATGCCTGTAATCCCAGCTACTTGGGAGGCTGAGGCAGGAGAGTTGCTTGAACCTGGGAGGCAGAGCCTGCAGTGAGCTAAGATCATGCCACCGCAGTCCAGCCTGGGTGACAGAGTGAGACTTGTTCTCAAAAAAATTTTTTAAGTGATCAGGCCCAGTGGCTCATGCCTGTAATCCCAGCACTATGGGAGGCCAAGGTGGGTGGATCACAAGGTCAGGAGTTAGAAACCAGCTTGGCCAACATGGTGAACCCCCATCTCTATTAAAAATACAAAAATTAGCTGGGCGTGGTCACGTGTGCCTTTAATTTCAGCTACTCAGGAGGCTGAGGCAGGAGAATTGCTGGAACCTGGGAGGTGAAGGTTGCAGTGAGCCAAGATCGCACCACTGCACTCCAGCCTGGGTGACAGAGCAAGACTCCATCTCAAAAACATAAATAAATTAATTAATAGTAATAATAATAAATGAAAATTTAAAAAGGAGAACCTATGAAGGAAAATTTAAACAACTGATTTTAATTACTGTAAAGGAGTGTCGCTAGTAGAAAAATGTTTCTATATTGTTAGGATAATCAAGTTTCTTTAAAGATAATATTGATTATTTTTAGCAGAAGTTTGTTATTTATCTTTAGGAAATGGAATTAAATGTTTTACTTTGTTTCGTTTTTTAATATGATCTTTCTAAAATGAAGGAAATTGTATTATTGCTGATTCCGTTGTGCATAGAGGCATTTAGAGTAGCAAAAATTATATTAATGGTCTATGCCAAAACACATAAAATGGCTTTATCACTGGTGTCAATTATAAAAAGGTAATAATTTGCATAATGTGATAAGAATACCACTTGAAAGAAAGGAGGCTGGGTTTTTGTTTTGTTTTGTTTTGTTTTTACATCCAATAAAATATGCCTGACATCATCTAGTCAAATTATACTGAGCTTTATTTTCTGTGTAAACCGTATTTTGCAAATATTATTTCAAAAGAAATTTAAATCTGCTGGGCTTAGGTTTCAGAGTTATACATAACTCACAAGTGAGCTGTGTGAGGTGAGTTCCTTAAAAGTCATACTCCAGGGTCTCATTTCAAAGGCTAGCTTTGTTCCAAAGCCCAAACTTGGCTCTGGTAGATTATTTTCTAAGATAACTCTTGAAGAGCTTTGCTAAAGAAAGGGAGCTATGGTACGGATCACCTCAAGGTCATGTGTGGCTCCCTCTTGCATTTGGGGTTTTCCTCTGGCATGTTTATCTTTTGAATAATGCTTCTCTCTTGGGCTAAATAGAGTTTGAATCCTCTACCTTATAACAGATGCAACAGAGGAATGCTGATGGTCAACAATGAGGTACAATCCACAAAGATAAAGAAGCATAATGAATGTCAGATTGCAGGCTGCCCATGGTACATCCAGCATCAGCATACTAATTTGCTTTAACTAATTTGGATATCTGCAGCTGTGGGACAGTATTGCAAATAGGTGGCATAATAAGCTTAAATAACAATTTCTGTCACTTAAATACAAAAGTCTCATATTTGTCACAGTAATATTATTGACCTCATGATTTTGTTTTTATTTTTTGTTCATCAACTTCATGAATGGTTTGGCAGGAAAGCAGGTAATACAGTTGCATACCTTATATTACATATGTGCTGAGGTTGGAGAATGTCACAGAGGTGTGCCCTTATTCATAAAACACTAAGGGAAGTGCCTTACTATGTTTTATTAAGCAAAGATCTTTCATTGTAAAAAGTGAGATTATTCCTTTAGAAACTATATAAATTACTGAAGGGAATTGTGAGCAATAATATGTTTTGGATTCATAAATGCCAAATGCTTATCTCACTAGATGACTATTATTCTTAATATTTTTCCATTACCTAGTTTTAACTCAGGAAATCATTTAGACCCTTAAGGGCCTAAGCAAGCAGGAAATGTGATAGATTTATAGATTCCACCAGTGAATAGAAATACCTTTTGCCTTTTAAATTATAACTGCAGTAGGCTCAATATAAATGCTATTTTTTTTTTAGACAGAGTCTCACTCTGTCACCCAGGCTGGAGTGCAGTGGCATGATATTGGCTCACTGTAACCTCTGCCTCCCAGGTTTGAGTGGTTCTCTTGCCTCAGCCTTGAGTAGCTGGAATGACAGGGCGCACCACCACATTGGCTAATTTTTAATAGAGACGAGGTTTTGCCATGTTGGCCAGGCTGGTCTCGAACACCTGACCTGAAGCAACCCACTCACCTCTGCCTCCCAAAGTGCTGGGACTACAGGAGTACGCCACCACACCCATCCCATAAATGCTTTTTTAAATGCTCCCTCTTCCTTTCCTATGTAAACCCTTTTCAAATTCTATTTTCCCTGTGATA